ACGGAGATCTAATCACTGCTATTTATCTATGTTAGCCATCTATCACTATGTATCTATGTTATGTTATCTATCTATCGCTATGTATCTATGTTATCTATCTCACTTACCCCGTTCACCTAACAAGGATGGGAGTAGCAAAGACCCCTTACATCTGGAGAGGGCGTGGCTCCCCCTATCGCAAATATGTCCGAAAGTCTCATACAAATATTAGGTGGGTCCGAACGTCTTATCAGTTTTTTCAATCCATCGGCAAACACGCTAGAATGAAGATAAACAAACGCTCCAAAATGTATCCAATGCAGAATTTCTTCGCCTTTGCAGCTGCTTAACTCTTATTGTGTTTCGTTGCGAGAGTGACGAGATATTTGCTGGAAATTACAACTACTCGTTTTTACCATGTCCAAATTTCGCTAATTTTCAAAATTTTTGTATGAGACTTTCGGAGGAGTCCTAGGAACCGACAGATAGAGCAAACCTTTTGCCAACGGATGCAATTTCTTGTAGCCCTACGGCTTGTCTTTCAGAATTTCTACAATTTATTTTTTGAAGTGGCCAAATTTTACATTCGGCTTATTTTAACCTCGTAGAACACAAAATGTTAAACCGTTCAGTCACCATTCGATGCAAATTTTTCTCCTCTTTCCAACACTTGTCTTTTTTGGCCGAGACAGGCAAAATCTTTGGGAAAAATCGCAGTATCTCAATTTAAGGAGTGCGCACTGACGTAACCTATGTTTCAAAATCTTCATAATTTGAAGCGAAAATCGCTCATTTACTTCGTAATGGTAGCGATAGTAATAAACGTGTGTTGAAACCTCAGTTTTCTGTAGATTTTGCTGTGTTTGGTGCAAAACAGGTTATGCGATTTTTCCGAAGCACAAGACTTTTAGAAGAATAATTAGCAAAAACCTGAGAAAGCACCTAAAAAAAGAAAAAAGTTGCATAAGTTGGCAAAAGGTTTGCCCTATCTGCTGGTTATTGGAGCTTCTCCAAAATTCTCATACAAAGTTATTGAAAATTAGCGAAAATTGCACACGGTAAAATAGAGTGGTTGTAATTTCTAGCAAATATCTCGTCATTTTCTCAAAGAAACACAACGGGGTTTAGCAGCTGGAAAGAGGAAGAAATTCTGCATTGGATACATTTTGAAGCATTTGTTTATCTTCATTCTAGCGTGTTTGCCGATGGATCGAAAAAACTGACAAAACTTTCGGACCCACCTAATATGATCACTTGTAAGCAGCTAAGATGTCTTTTTAGAGAGTATTACTTACTCTTTCATACGAAAATAATAGCAGTCAAATTGATTGGAAAATCAAAAGTTATGAAAATTTGAAAATGGTGCGAACGAACTTTCAGGACGACTTAATATTAGGTTTATTCAAAAGTTCTGTCGCTTTGATTTAAGAAAAAAAATTTGTAACTTCTCCCTATATGAGTGTATTGACTTACAAAAACCGACTTTAGGTAGAAAAATGCATCCACTTTTCACTCACATTTTCGCTGCTCTTTGACCTCAAAAGACGCCAGAGAAAAAATCCGAATAGGAGGACCACTCAAACTAATGAGTTTCGAAAATTAATCGCTAAAAATTTAAATCGTTGCAAAAAAATCTAAGAGCCGTTTTTAGAAGTTTTGTAAGCTGCTCTTCCTAATGGTGCCAAGACTGCTCTGATCGAGCTTTTTCACGAGAAGTTATGATTTTTATGAAAAATGCCAAAAACGGCATAAACGAAGTTTTTTGATTTTTCTGCTAGAAAAGCGGATTATCACAATTTTGGCACTATTACCTATCATTCATTCCTTGACTAGGAGACGCGAAATCGCATTGCATACATTGTTTAAACAAGCTTAATCGTGTACTTAGAGGTCTATGCTTGTCATTAATCTCGTTTAGGTTTATTCACTCTTTGGAAACAGGGAAGAACAAACTCAAACATGTTAAGACAATGTCCGCAATGCGGTCAGGCGTCTCCTAGTCAGTGAATAGAGATTACAAAATATGCTTTCAGATCCCTCTGTAGCGTTTCAAATTTTTTGACAACCTATCTTCTTATATATAAAGCTGAATGTCTGTTTGTATGTCTGTCTGTATGTCTGTCTGTGTGTACGTATGTTCCGAATAGAAAATTCCATTTCTGAACCGATCGGGACCAAACTTGGCACACATACACTTCGGGCCCCGGCGGGTGTCATAGGCTACTTTTCGTCATCGATCGATATCGATTTTATCGATTTTTTGCAAAATTTGAGCTACGGGACTGGGAGTTGGCACAGGGGGGTAATTGAGCATGCTGATCACCTCCGTGGGGGTGATCAGCATGCTCGATTACACCCCTCTGTCAAATTTCAGCCCCCTAGCTCAAGTTTTGCAAAAAATCGATAAAATCGACATCGATCGATAACGAAAAGTGGACTGTGACACCCGCCGGGGCCCGAAGTGTATGTGTGCCAAGTTTGGTCCGGATCGGTTAAGAAATGGAATTTTCTATTCGGAACATACGGCGGAGCCGGGTAAGCCAGCTAGTTTTCGATAATCACGATTTTGAATGATTTTTCTATTCGAATTTTTATCTTTGGACTGCACTATTTTTGGGAGCAGCGAAGATGTTAGTAGAAAATAGATAAGTTTTCCTTTTTAACGACATCCTTCTTGTTCAATATGTTCGCATAGGGAGCAATCACGAATTTTTCAAAATCGAACCGACAGACTTCTGAATCAACTCAATATCAAATCATTTGCGACGGCTAATTATAGAAAACAGTGATGAGCTTTAAGAGAAATGACAGTGAGGCCATACGTACCGGAATCATTTCACCGATAGAGACCCATCACTTCCCTTAACCAGTAAGTGTTTACGCTATTGCGAGTCCGGCTAGCTTAGCTTCTTTTCCACTTCTGTCTTCAGTTCCCCAGGAATGGTTGGCTTATTAGCTTTGACCATCCAACGACCAAAGACGAAAGAAAGGGAGAACCTGGAATGATATCCACGAAAGTCCCCGCGAAATGGGCTTTTCGTGCGAATAAAATGGACTTAGTCCATGCGGTGCGATAAGATATCGCATTCGCGAACACATTCATTCCATACAAAAATGCTTCAACTAACCTTTCTCCAACTTATCTCAACCTGTTTGCTCACTCTTGCAAACTCATTTCCACCAAGTGGTCGATATCTAACTAGGCTGACCTAACATTACAATGTCACTCAAGTGGCTATTCTATTCTTTCCCACTTCGTTACACCTAACAGAATGCCATTCGTTATCGATGACTATGCATCTAAATCACTTCCAAGACTAAAATTCATGTCACATCCGGGCCTTCGCTTCAAAGCTTCGACGAATCAGCATTAAATCGAATTCGTATGTGGAGATTTCTGCAAAAAGCAAACCTTGGCTGGAGTTGCACTGCAACCAGTAAACCAAAATGCTCCTTACAAGAAACCTTGTACTACACTACAACTCAGAGGATTTTTCAAGTCGCAAAAACTTTGAATCTCAAAAGATGACTTCGCAAGCGGTCTATATTAGCTTTTCATTGTCTTTCAGCGAGTTGAATGTATGGACTAATCTAGTAAGAAATTCTTCACAGAATTTCTCTAGCCAGCTAGCGGCACTTCAGTAATTCTTGCGAACCAAACTCAAAGTTGCGTTTAAAATGCCGTCTCTGAGGTTCGGTTCTACGAAATTAGCCAAAGATAGCTTCTAAGTAATCACATTGAAGCAAAATTTTTTTCAAATTTTAGATTACAAATCATGAATTTGGTTTGGTTGATGATTTGAAAAGTTAACAAACTTTATTTGTTTTACATAAGAATTTTCTGATTGACCTGACAGAAGCATTTGGGTTTATTAGCGAATATTTGAGTAAATTTGATCTTTTACTACGTTTTTATAACGTTTCTATGAGTTTAGAAAGAAACAGTTATTTCAGACTTCATAAAAGACATGAAACTTTTTCCACTCACCTATTACCTTAGGATAGGATGAGGAACACATTCCCAAAAAATCGCAATCAAAAATATGCAAAAAGGTCAAAAATGGGCTTAGTCCCAGCTCACCTTGCTGCTGGGAGTAAAATGGGCTTTCAAGTCCATTTAAAATGGAGGTAAATCCCATTTTGCCCCATTCTAAATGGACTTTTGACGTCATCATTTCGCAAGCGAGAGCTCAGGTAGGGTTAAATCATTTTCATTTCACCGCTTTGCCTCGTGGTTGCGATTGGATGAAAATTTTTGGATAACGCGAGCGAAGGCAGATTCCGACCACTCTCCACCGCGAACGAATAAAATGGGGCTTGAAAGTCCATTTTCCTCCATTATGGACTTTCGTGGATATCATTCCTGGTTGAAGAAACCCCGGCTTGTCCAAAGGGTGATCCTTATGCGGAAGTCAGAAGAGGGTTCAGCCAAACAAACGTTGCTGAAACACTTATAGTGTCCTATTGTAACTAGCCATCGAGTATGAATGAATAGAGTTTAACACGATTAGCTACGCTTGCAAAAATGCGCCTCTACAGTATTTTTATCCATTAGCTGACACATTTCCCAAACTTTTGAGGTAAGCTAGGTGTCTTTACTTAGACAATCTATGAAACCGTTGTGCATACTGACGAATCGTCAAGAAACTTCACGGATTCTCACACAATCTTTTCTTATAACCTGGCATTAGATACATGTTTTAGGAAGGTTTCAAAAAAAATAACAGCATAAAAATTTTTTGAGGAGCTTGTATAGTCGCATACAACATTGTCGCAAGTAATAAAGCCACGCAAGTTTTACGGTTAAAACCACAATCATAAGTTTGAAAAAACAATCATAGATTCTGAGACAAGTATTTGAGAGAAGACAGAGGAACTAAACATTGAGTGTTGCGCTAACGTCTGAGTCCTTTTTTTATATTGTCTCAAAGTAAGGTACCCCATTTGCATGATAAGGAAGAAAATGAATTTGAATCGTGCATAATTTATCGGTTATGATTTGTTTGCGTGAGTTCAGCGATTCAGAGACGAACACGGCGAACGTGGTGGCGGAAAAGGCGGCGTCTGAGTGTGTAGCCTTTACCGACAGTGACAGTCTGTAAAGTGTACGATTACAGTAGCCGCTGCTTGACGAAAAGATGCATTCACCGCTTTAGGAGCGTCGCGGTTGAGTCTTCCGTTGGTAGCAACGGGAATGTTAGCACCGTTGAGTACCCCACCGGTTGCGACAGGAATGTTAACACCGTTGAGTCCTCCATTGGCGGCGTCGGGTACCTGCATAGTAGACATATGTTGGACTACGAAATTAGCAGACGGCGATGAAATATTAGGTTGTAAAGAAAGTTCTCGGACACTTGCGAAAATTTTTTTCAAATCGCTATAACTTCGAGCAGATTGATTCTTTTTTGAAGCTACAAACTTCATTGCAAAAATAATTGTGTCCACAACATACGTTCGTCTTGCTGGCTTTTCAGCACCTCATAGCGGTCCGCTAGCATGCGCAGAAGGGAAAAAGGTCGATTCGAAAAGTGGCGTATTTGTGCAGGATGATCTCAGGCAGGATAACAGCTGAAGACCCCAGATGCTGTAGTTTTATAGAAGTCTGCTGGGGCTGTTATGACGACCATTCATATCTTTAAGGGGCCACCTGCAAAAAAAAATTTTCCAGAAAGTTTGAAAAATCGACCATTTTTTGCCCCCAAAAATGCACCATTTTTCGCGCAAGTGCCTTCGAAGTCTTGTCGTTCTGCATATAGTTGACCAAATCTTTGATTACTGCGAACATTGCTGGTGTAATGCCTTTCACATCTTTTGCACCCATCGTCTGCGCGTGACGATTCCCACAGAAGCGACGCCAGTTACGAAAAGAGTTGCAGTCAGAGGCAAGTTTGACAGCCTGTAATTTCTGAGCGCAAATCGCAAAGCTCGAATGCAGCTGCTGGTTAGAAGTTAACAGGTTCCTCAATCAGATCATTCATGATTTGGACGAAATTCTTTGCCCTGCACAGAAAAATGGGCGCAGGAGGAAAAACTGCGAAATTTTTATGGTTGGAAAGATTTCCTTTTTTGATGTGCAGGTCTAACACGTCTTGGCATCGATAGGAATCAGAAGCGGTATTGAAAAATTTATGCTTTGCTCTACGGAACACTATACAACACTTAATGACGCAGTCCGACCGAGCGCCAAAAAAATGCGTTTGAAAATGAAATTTCCAAAAGTGCCCGGAAACTTTCTTTACAACCTAATAAATAAAGAATTTACCACTCCTGAGTTGACACCAGTGAGTCCTCCATAAGCAGCGACAGGAATGTTAGCACCGCTGAGTCCTCCACCGGTACCGACGGCAATCTGCATAATACATGAAGTTTAGCAAGCTAACGGATGCGAAATAGCTAGTAAACTCACTGCTTCAGGAGCAACTCCGTCAACTCCTCCCCTGGTGCCGATGGCAATCCGCAGGGTTTAAAGCAAATTAGCAGATGTTGATAAAATAGATAGAAGACTTACCGCTCCTGGAGTAACACCGGTGAGTCCATTGGTGCCAACCGGAATGGCTCCCGCTACTGAAACGAGGGCTGGGCGAGTGGTGACAAGAGTGCCGGTAACAGGTGCAACAGATGAAAATGGAGCAATTGCTGGGGTAGGTGCTGGGGAAGAAGCCACTACTGTGGCACCGTCTGAGTTGTACAGTAGATTTCAAATCAGTTTAGGCGGAAATTAAACTGGCGGAAGTCCGCTTCGCAACGATTCGCGCCGCTTTGCAGTCTGCGTCTCTTCATTTTAATTTATCTCGCTGAGCCAGCGACGGTGCGTACGCGCTGCTCCACTTGGAATGTTTCGCCTACTCCGGGTTGAAAAAGACTGTATGCCTGTTAATTACCACCGTCAGCGCTAAGAGGAACTACAGATGCTTGTTGATACAGTTCAGCAGTTTCATAGCCTGAGCTCTGTCGACTGTAGGCTAGTACTGTTGCAGTGGCGACGGAGAGGACTATCATGCAACGCATCTGTAACTAAATGTTGATGGAGAACGAAAATGAATAAAGTAAGTTTGAGAGCAAATTTCTTCTTTGGATCTAAATTGCAGAAAGCTTGACGCTGCTCACACTAGCTATTGTGAATACGCATACCTCAAACATGTTTTTATACCAGTAGATTTTTACGATTTTACAACCATTTCGCTCCAATAAATTTTATGTGATACTTGACGCGCGCGACACCTGTAAGCATTTCCGCAAGGCTAGTACCTGCAAAACCTTTGATCCCTTCAAACGATTCTAAAGACTTCTGGTTAAACTACATAAGAATATGCTTTTCAATCAAGTGTTAAACAAGAAAAAAGTTCCTTTGTCAGAAGTGAGAACTGCATACCTCAAAGTATAAGTCATCACAGTTCAAATATCCAAAGTCTTTTGCTTATTTCAAATTCCCGTGAATTTGGACAAGCTCTGTAATAGCTGATGCAGGAACACTGTCCTACTGTAAGTCGAAAAAATCATTATCACGTGATGCGACCTCAAAATATACTCCAAAAATGCGATGAAGCAGAATACGATTGGTTATATGCATAATCAAGTGCTCTATGAGTGAGGGACAGGGACCGAGTGAGATCAACACAATCCTTTGAATTCACTTAGCTCTTAGCTTTCATCCCCTTTCTAAAGGTCATGAAATCGTTGAGCACAGTCAATAAACTTCCGGAAAATTGCCGAAATCTGCGACCCATGCTTTTTGAAATGGTCAAGTTTCAAAGTTTTTGATTTTATATTGACCCTCTGAAGCAAGTAACGGATGTAGAGCAAACCCTACAGGGAGCAGTGCAACTTTTTTCCTTCCCATGGCGTACAACTTTTTCCTTTCCATGGCTCGCCATAGTTTTCAACAGAGTTTTTATATATGCCACCAATTTCCATATTTGGTTAAGTCAGAGCTCGCGCACATTGACCGGCGAGCAATTCTAGTGTCAATGCAGCGCTTTTTCCACTGAATGTTTCTTGTTAACGACTTGTGAAGTCTTCGGGGTAAAATCATTATGTTCCATGTTTTAAACGCTCAAGGGCTATGCCTGAAAAGTTTGAGATTTGACATTTTGCCGTGATCGCTCATTTGCTTTATATAAGTGTTACATTGTAGTCATTACTTATAGGTTTTGAATTTCGATAACTTATTGTTTTGACATGTCTGTTTCTGAGACGAAACTGTTGACATTCGGCGAAGTTTCATACAAAAATAATAACAAGCTAGGAGAAGGAAAAAATGTCCTGTTGGGTTTGCCCATTTATCCGCTATCTGGACTCATTCGGAAGATTGGTATAAAAATTCAGAATATTTGTGAAACTTGATCATCTTAAAAAGTATGGGTCCCAAATTTTGGCGGTTTTCCGAGAGCTTATTGATGATGCTGTGAATAAGTTTATAGACATTAGAAAGATGATGAAGTGTTGCATTGTATGCTACTAAAATTTCTTATAAATCTTTGTTTCACGAAATGTAGCGTACTTGAAAAAATCGACATTTGTTTTGAAACGACCTAATAGGTCAATATTGAAATTTTGATAAATAAAAAGGCTTTGTTCAGGGTAATCACGAAATTACTGACGGCAAAGTTTTTAATATAGACTTCTTTAAGCTGAATCCAATGTCGGAAAATCCAAATTTGAAAGGGACGCAACAAAAGAATGAATAAAACATTGAGAATTGTTTGCGTAATTATTGAATCAATCTTTGGTCACCCGAAGTTTCTCACTTTTTCGATCTTATCTTGTTAAGCCACGGCAGTTTTTGAAATCCGCAATTCTGTAATCTTTACAATTGTAGAAAACAGTGGTATAGGCTTTTAACAGATGAACCTGGGAAAAGGAGTCTGGCCGAAAGCAACTGTAAGTTTTTGAGGCGTTTTTGTGGCCAAAGTGCTCTTTTGGCATTCACTCTGAATTGACCCAAAGCAGAATTCGCCAAATTCTGGAGCTTACTTTGAAAGAACTGTAATTTTTCTGCTCATTCGTATAGTAAGGAAATCAAAGGGATTTGACCGAGTTTGCAAATGATCGTGAATTTTCCCAAGAAGGGCTACTGCACATTTCTTTGGTTTGTAGAATTACCATCAACTTATCACCACTACAGGAATATTATTTGTATCAAGCTTTCCCCAAACCAACCTTGATCAAGAAAACTCTTGGGTAGTGTATTCTTCAAAATGCTTGCTTTTATTGAGTTTGGCAAGTGTTGCGCAGAAGCGTCAAGTATCGCACGAAACTTATAGCTATACTGATAATAAAATTTCGGGGTACTCTGATATAAAAACATGATTTGAAAGAAGAATCTCCAGCACAAGAACAGTCTCCTCTTACTCGTTGCCGATTCCTCGCTTTCTTTTTTTTTTGAACTAGATTGACTAAATATTACCTCGTCCTTGCTCAACGAACGAAAAGTTTCCAGATGCGCTGCTTGATAGTTCTCTCCGTCGCCACTGTAACAGTACTAGCCTACGGTCGACAGAGCTCCGGCTATGAGACTGCTGAACTGTATCAACCAGCACCTGCAGTTCCTCTTAGCGCTGACGGTGGAAACCAACAGGCATACAACTCCGACGGTGCCACAGTAGTAGTTTCTTCTCCACCACCTACTCCAGCAGTTCTTCCAATTTCATCTGTTGCACCTGTTACCAGCACTCTTATCACCACTGGTCCAGCTCTTGTTCCGGTAGCGGGAGCTATTCCTATTGGCACCAATGGAGGACTCACCGGTGTTACTCGAGGAGCAGTGAGTGTAGGACTCACTAGTGTTAATTCAGGAGTGGTAAGTTTCCTGTATACTTCATCATCACCTGTAATTTGATAATTTGAAATATGTCTATACAGCCCGTTGCCACCAATGGGGGATTCAATGGTGTTAACATTCCCGTCGTTACCAGAGGAGGCAACACTGCTACTCTAGGAGCTGTAAGTTTATAATCTATTTCGTCAACATCTGCCAATTTGCCAGTTTAAAATGCTCATATTTTGCAGAGTCTCGTCCGCGCTAATGGAGGACTCAACGGTGCTACAGGGGTTTTGGTGGGTTTCAAGTGATTAGGGGGTAGACAAGTTGTGGAATAAGGTTTATTCGCACGGGCGTAGATTATTCGAGAAGAGGTTAAGGTGTCCCGGTGTGGACCGGTAAGCAACCCCTAATACATTCGGAGGCTCCTTAGATACTCAAGAGTGAGTAGCTCACCATTTAGCCTACGGGAATTCCGTAGGCTATATAGAATATAGAGTTCATCAATGGTTGATGATACAGGAATCATCAACAGGGGTGGTAAATTGCAACTTTTTAACTCAACATCTTCTTTGATCGTCTGAATTACAGATTACCGTCGGCAATGCCAATGGACTTAGACGCCGCTTTTTCCGCCATCGTGTTCGCCGTGTTCGTTTCTAAATCATGTTATGCAGACAATTTTATCCAATAAAGAATGCATAATTTACATTCTGCTGTTTATTGAAATAGGAGCAAATTTATCCGTACAACATATTTTTAGGCATTTTCCGAATAGGAAATCAAACTCTGAGTCCGCAACACGTGATAAGTATATGTCATTTCTTCACATGCTCACTTAAAACAACATTCTGCGCTAAAAAAAAGTGCGAAGGAAGCTTACTAAAATTCGTATGCAAAAAAATGCAGGGCTCTTCATAAGAACGTTATACAAGGAATGATGTAAGAGTGGTTTTCCCTTAGCGTATTATCGTTTTTTTTTTTCATGTGAGATAAACAAAATTAACGAACGCCTTTCTGGGTTCTTTTCCTTACTTGTGAATCTGCCGCAAGTCACATGTAGTGAAAATTGAAATTGAGACTAGATTAAAAATATAACTGAATGACTGATTCTGGTTTGAACTTATTCCAACTATTTTGACTTCGAGTTTTACAAAGGAAGTTACAGCGCGAACCCTAACGGGTACATAGTCTTGTACTGTCAGCTCCAAATGATAAACAAAACAAGTTTCATGAGCCTGTTTAGACCGCATATGCCTTTTAATACGTCGTACAAAATTTAAAAATTTGAACTTTTCCAGAAAAGATTCAAAAATTGTCTACCTCAGCTCAACAGAACTGTTTAAGTGGGGTAGTCAGTTCTACCAGATCGCTTTATATTTTCGTCAAGGTTCATCTTGTTCTCGTTTTTTAGGAGCGCTGTTTTGTGGCAAAATGGGTATGCCAATGAAAAAAGCTGACTACGCTCTTTAAAATGCACTAATGTTGAGACTTGTTGAGAAGCTCATCTGCTTGACTGTTCGCTTTCAAAGATGATTTTTCAACAGGCAAAGAAAAGACATTTGGCACTCATTTTTCTCCTTATAAAAAGGTTTTGCGCAGAGTTGTTTCCTTATTATGGAAGCGTTTTTTTTGTCAATATGAGGGAAAAAATTAAGATTGCTTTGAAAGGCCAAGACGTTACAAGGTATTCCCTAACGAGGCTTTTTTGTAGACGCGCAAGCAGGTTCTGCACTAAAATTGCTAAACAGGAACAACGTGGTCGAATATACCTATACACCCAGTTGCGCCGTTCGAGCGAAACTTTACTGAGTTTTTTTTGCAAAACCGAACATGGCCTCAACGGCGGACGTCGTCCTAGCTTTCCTGCAAGACTTGATCGAAACGTATACTACAGGGTGTCCCAAAAAAATGTGAACACTATTTGATTGTTAATAACTCCGTTGAAAAAACTAACTAACTTAGATTTACAGTATGTAGCGAATTACCAATCACTCTTCATTATTGTAGGATTACGGTAGGAACTTCTACAAAGATTTTAGGCCATTGGAGGCTATTCTGCCTCGGAACAAAACCAACCAAGCCAAAAACTTCTATACTATAATGGAAGACGCTGATTTCAAATATGAAATTTCCACTTTACTCTGATGCTTCTTTTCAAGGTTATCCCGGGTAAAGCGTAATATAACTGAATTTCCAGCATTTGTCAGAAATGTGACTACACCGTCAAAAAAGCTAAAAACACTCGTAAAAAGTTATGTAATAGAATCAGCGTGCACGAAAACCCTAGCACACGATTCAGATTTTTTGAAAAAAAAAACTTTTGTCAAATGGCATATTTCACAATAGATCCACATGCTAGAAGTTCATACCGTATTCCTACAGTAACAAGCAGCGATCAGTGATTCGCTCTATACTACAGAGCTAAGTTGAACCTCGCTCTACAAAATGGTGCCTAGAGTTATTAACGACCAAACTGTGTTCACATTTTTTTGGGACGCCCTGTAGTATTGTATGCATTGTGGTCTTGCGATCTCGCTCTAGCAAAATATCTTCTGTTCCAGACTATCGCAATACACATAAAAGCGTTTGCTTTGACTTCAAAGACGAGGTCAGGCGCTGATTCAGATGATATTTTCAAGTCAAACCCACGTTTGGAAAAATGGGACTAATTACCTGAATAAAGGGTGGCAGAATGTTGTGCGCTACAACGGAACACATATTATTGACTAATTTGTTGAAGGCAGTGTGCAAATTTTGCATTTCCATCTTTTGCATGTTCTAGGCCTTTTCGACCCGTAGACCCCGAAGTTGGGCTTTGAAATGGGTGAAAGGTCCATTTCAGGGCGTTTACCCTGTCAAAAAGGCAGCCCGAACGAGATTTTCGATGGAAAGTTGGGAGACCCTGGCACGAAGACCCTGCTGTCTGTAATTTTTGCTTTGGATAGCATGCATGCGGTAAAGCGGTCGTGGGGTCGCACGCCGAACGGCAAGCGAAGTCGTCCGAGTGTGTGCCGATTGGGGTGCGCGCGCCGATTCAAGGGCTATTTTCTCGGCCCAGCGGAACATCAACTAACCGGATTGCGCCTGGAGGTCAGTGGGATGACCAGGAACACCACCATAACAATATCTCCCAAGGCGCGAACCTGCCGGGATGCTGCCTTTGAGGTCTTGTCATTCCGCTGATTTATAAACTTTACAAACTCATGAAAGGATCTTACAAGGGGAGTCCGATTGATCGAAGTGGCCTTTTCATATGAAATTGATACGACTTCAAAGGGCATCGGACGCTGATTTCAAATCTGTCTTCGCTATTTGCGAGCGCCTCTGGACGTCGAGTTATGAGCGTTTTTGAGTTGAAAAAATGGGTGGAGGACTATACGTCGCCGAATTTGGAAGAGTCCCGCGCGGATTCCCTGCAGGAACGCATGTCCGCGCATGTACAAGGGTGCGTATTTGTCGCAAATGACCGCGATGACCGCCCTTTTTCGGCGACATATAGTCCTCTACCCTGAAAAAAATGAATGCGTAATCAGCACAAAATTCGTCCAGATTGCTCAAATGGCCCAATGTCAATTATCGGGGCACTCCATTTGAACAATATCTTCTGTCCAAAACACTCATACTCAACACTGCTCTATTTGAGCGCCGAAAAGACCGTAGACTTTGATTTTACCTGAATTATGCGTTCATTTTTCGCACTAAGATATTCATAACTCGACATGTAGATGCTCGGCAGATAATAAAACCAGATTTGGAATTATCGTTTGATGCTCTTCAAAGTGGTATAAGACTCATCTGGAAAGGCCACTTCGACTACTCGGACCTCACTTGTTAGCTTCACAAAACTCTCAGGGTTATCTTCGAAAGCAGCAGTATATTACAGCTCATAACAGTATGTAGCAGGATTACAATAAGAGAAATTTTGTGGAAAACTGCTTATTGAAGCACATAGAACAAAGGAAATGCCCAGAAAAAAAGATTTTTACCATTCAGAGAGTGCTAAATCAAAAAAAAACCAGCTTATTTCTGCCTCATAGATCAAAAAAAAAAGGCTGGAACACTTTTGAATTCGGTTAGAATGTTGAATTAATCTATTTGAATACTTTCTGGAAAGACAATTTCCGACCACAAGGTTTCATTCAGAGAGCAATAGTGCGGTAGTTATCATATTGAGTGAAAATTTCTATTAGGGTGAACGGTAAAAAATGGGACAGCTTGATTTTTTTTTAACATTTTGAGGTTTCTTGTTCTCACCAACAACAAGCAGGCTACAACTTAAACTCGCTTACATAAACGACCTTCGCCTATTATTCTGGCAACGCGTTACCGCTCCTCTCTCATAACCGTACGCGTGGCGCCGTGAAGAACTCAGACAGGGTTTTTGAACAATTATCAATCTTGCGCTGCTATACCGTAAAGTCATAAACCAAGTGACATACCATTCGAAAGAGCTCTTTATGCTCTTTCAAACATATGTTAAATGCATGAGATTTCTTTTTAATTTCAGAAAAAAACGCGAAAAAATCTGAAAAATAGCCATTTTGTGGCGCAATAAAAAACCAAAAAACCATGTTTCGCCCTAAATTTTCCGAAGATAGATAAAATCTGAGGTAAGATGCATATGGATGGATAGAGCGTAAGAAGCTCTATCAGACGGTACCTAGAAAACATGCATTCACCTAGAAGGAATTGAATAACGCGTATCTATGTTCTTAAAGCTGCTAATGGTTATATCTCCTAACTTTGAAAGTTGAGGCCACCAAGCCGTCGTGGATTTAGTGACTGTCCCACCACCCACTCCAGCAGTGGTGCTTTGAGTGGTCTCAGATGTTTCGCTGTGCAGATACTGCTCATACTTCATAATATATCGAGCTGACTAATTTTGCATTTCAGCAAGTATAAAAATTATTAATTATGTAAATGACCTTATATAGGTATTATATGAAAGAGAATAACATATTCTAACATCTATCAAAATTGGAAAGTCTAATCGCTTCTCATTATTGAGAAACCTACAGTTGTTTCGTAAGTGTCCCATTTTTTACCGTTCACCCTAATAATAATGAGTACGGTTGAAACCGTGCTATCAGCGGACCGGACATTTTCTGAGCAATATATTCACCACACCCTAATCCGGAAGGAGTAGATATTCAGATTGAATATTTCTACCGGAAATTATTTTGACAGTAGGAAAAGTAAATCTAATGGCATTTGTTCTCTAAATTCATATGCAGGATGCGCCGAGCATGCGAGAGACATAACGAAAATCTGATACAATTGTGTCAATTTTCAAAATGTTTTGCTTAACTGCGTAGGAAGATTTGCGCGTTTTGGCGAGCCCCCCCCCCCCTGAGGGAAAGAAAACTGCGCTCTTTGTTCACCTGAAAGGACGAAATTATTAGAGTAAGCAGAACTTTACTACCCTTGCTATTGAGTAGAGACAAATCCGAGCAACCAGAGTTCACAATCACGGTTTTGCTACAGCTTTATTATACAGAAAAAAAGAAAAGGAAGGGATTACTGACAAACATTACAAACATTCGGTTCAATTTGCTCATACAATCCTCATGTCCCTGATGATGATCGCAGCGGGGGAAACTTATTAGTAGTCTTGGGATAATGAAACATATGATTAATCCGCACTACTTTAACCGGAGATCACAGCAAGTATCGATATAATCATATATTATATAGAACTGTACAACCATTATCTTGACTACTTTGCATCACTGTATTCAAACCCAGGGGAGGCAAAGTGGGTGAGGGTGAGGCGAAGTAGCATTTGAGAGCGATAGAAATAGAATAAAAACACTGTGCTACTTTTTGATATTATGCTCTCAACTTACAATGCTTTTCCACCTTGCACGCATGATATGAATGCTGTATGAGTTTCTATCCAATTTTTCCCATAAAAAGCTGAGCTCTGCATGCAATCCCTTTTACAACAAGATTTGAATGTTGAGTGAGCAAAATATTGAACTTATAATGCAAACTCGAAATAATTTACCAAGGCCTTTTTTTCCTCCTTCCGTATGTAAATAAATTTCGTGAAAAACTGCTTTGTAATACTAATGTAGAGTTACCTCACGCTCACGTTGGTTGCTAATTGCGGATAAGCTTACTACTATAAATTCATGTTCACTAGTGCCCATCAATCGTGAATTGCGTAAGTTGTACAAAGTTCGAAAAAGATTGATGGTTGATTGAGAATACCGTAAACCTCTTTTAGGGTCAGTTACTACAGATTCGTTATGTAATTATGAAAATAGAGCATAAATTAAGTTGTCAGCTCAGAACGCCTCTCATGAATTACACGTTTTTAAATTGTTTGCATTTTTTGAGTTTTAAGTGTTACGCGCGACAGGCATTACATGAAACTTATAGCTGTACCGATAATAAAATCTTGGAATACGTTGGTATAAAACCACACTTTGCTTGAGCCTTTTTCACAATCATAGGCCATTTCTTGATATATGCCAGCTTTCTATCTCCCATACATTCCAATTTAACTCATTTTTCTAAACTAACAAACAAGTAAGACAGATTACAGATGCGTTCCATAATAATGCTGCTCGCCACCACAACAGCAGTAATGGCCTACGGTCAGCGGCAGAGCTCCGGTTATGAGACTGCTGAGTTATATCAACCACCACCTGCAATTCCTCCTAACGCTGACGGTGGCTATCAACAGGCATACAATTCCGACGGTGCCTCAGTAGCAAATTCTTCTCCACCACCCACTTCGTCTCCTCTCCCGCCTTCATCTGTTGCACCTGTTACTAACACTCCCGTGACTACGACTACAGAAGCGGTTTTGCCTCCAGCTATTCCGGTTGGCATCAACGGAGGGAACACCGGTGTTCCACAGACAGTGAGTTTCTTATCTGTTCTGTAAACATGTGCTAATTTGCTGCTTAAAAAGGATTGTATACGTCAGATTCCCGTCGCCACCAATGGAGGACTCGACGTTAACTCAGGATCGGTAAGTCCATTACCCACTTATTTAGCATCTGCTAAATTACTCTCACGTCTATCATACAGGCTCCCGTCGGCACCAATGTAGGAGTTAGTGGTGTTAACGCTGTTAACATTCCCGTCGCCCCCAGTGGAGGGTTAAACGGTGTTAGCATTCCCGCCGCCACCAATGCAGGAGTCAGCGGTGTTAACTTAGGAGTAGTAAGCCTTATATCTATTCTCCTAGCCTCCTATCCTCTAATTTGTTAGTATAAATGTTTATCATACAGGTTCCAGTCGCCACCAGTGGAGGACTCAACGGCGCTACTTCGGGAACAGTAAGTCTTTTGATCAGATTATCATCATCCGTTCATTTGCTAGTCTAACTATATAGACCGGCGTCGTCACCACTGGACTTAGCAGCGTTAGCCTAGGAGCCGTAAGCCTACTGATTATTCCAAAGCATCTGTAAGTTTATAGTCTAAAATAAGTTCATCATACAGGTCCCTTTTGACACCAATGGAGGATTCAACGGTGTTAACATTCCCGTAGCCACCAATTCAGGAGTCAGCGGTGCTAACACAGGAGTGAGCCTCCTATCCATTCAGCACTCGCATTTGATAGTCTAAAGAATATTTATTTAACAGGTTGCCGTCGCTACTAATGGAGGACTCAACGGCGCTACTTCAGGAACAGTGAGTTTTTCTGTCAGTTTATCATTGTCCATTGATTTGCCAGCCTAACAATTCAGAGTGCCGTCGGCACCACTGGACTCAACAGCATCAACCCAGGAACCGTAAGCCCTTTGATTATTCCAACGCATCTGCTAAGTTGATAGTCTAAGTTTATCACACAGATTCCCGTCGCGACCAATGGAGGATTTAACGGTGTTAACGTTCCCGTCGCCACCAATGCAGGAGTCAGCGGTGTTAACACAGGAGTAAGCTTCCTATCTATTTCATCAGCATCCGCGTTCTACAGTCTAAAATATGCTTATCGTATAGGTTCGAGTCGTCAGCGGAGGACTCAACAGTGTCAATATTCCCGTCGGCACTAATGGAGGACTTAATAGCGTTAACCTGGAAGCAGTTAGATTTCTAACTATTCACCATTTGCTAGTTTGATGTTTATTACATAGATTCCCTTCGCCACGAACGAAGGACTAAACAGTGTCAACGTTCCCTTCACTACTAATGCAGGGAACAGTGCTACTTTAGGATTGGTAAGTTTCCTGTCTAATTCATCAACATCCACTGATTGCTATATGAAATACTTCCACCATATAGATCACCGCTGGCACCAATGGAGGGTCCAACAGTGCTAGTTCAGGAGCGGTAAGTCCCTAATCATGTAATCCTTGCTGGTTTCCTAATCTGAACCAACAGGTTGTCGTCGGCGCCAATGGAGGACTCAATGGTGTTAATTCAGGAGTAGTAAGTTTTCCATTCCCTTCATCAGCGGCTAATTTAGTAGTCTAAATTTGTTCACTGCACAGATTCCCGTTGCCAACAATGCAGGACTTAGTAGTGCTACCATAGGAGCGGTAAGTTCCTTATCTGTTTGACCAACATCAGTAAGTTTTCAATTTAATGCTTTTTCGCGTACAGGTTCCCGTCGCCAACAATGGAGGGTTAAACAGTGTCAGCATACCTTTCGCCACCAATGGAGGGCTCAATGGTGCTACAGCGGTAAGTTTCTTCTCTATCCATTAGCATCTACTGATTTCTCGATCCAAACCCAGGCTGCCACCGGTACCAATGGAGGGCTCAACGGTGCTACTCTAACAGCGGTAAGTTTTAAATCTATTTCATGAACATCTGCCAGTAACTACTTTCAAATACTTCCGTTATATAGATTCCCGTCGGCAGCAATGGAGGACTCAACGGTGCTACTACAGGAGTGGTAAGTGCAACTTTTCAACTTTTTAACTCATCGACATCTTCTCTAATCTTCTCCTTACAGATTACCTTCAGCAACGGCAATGGACTCAGATGGCGCCTTTTCCGCCAAGGCGCAGACAATTCGTAACCCAGTGAATGATACATAATCCGAGTTTTCTTTATTATCATGCGAGTAAAAGTGAGGCATCCGTACATTTTAGTTTTATGCATATTTGAAAAAAACACGTTTTTTAATTGTTCAGCAATTTCAGTGCTTTAATGCCACTTGTGCAAACCAGCTTCCCTTACACTTTTGATTATTATATTTCTACAACGCAACATTCTCTTCTCAGATATTCATTACAAAGTTTATAAAAGGTTGTGCACAAAAAGAAATTACGAAAGGGCCGCTCAGACATATGCTGCTACTATCAGTGCGAAGTACTAACTCAGAGTTACGTGACGCATTACTTTGCCAAACATGCGGTACGCATAACTATCGAAAATGCGTTTAGATATTTTCTGACTGCTACTTTCTACTATCTTGATAACATATGAAGAATAGTCGATGATAATGCAACAGCCAGTAGAAGGAGAACTCGCGAGTTATCCGAAAAGATTTTCAGTGGAACATAGTGAGTCCAGTGAGTCACCTTAATTACCTTACCAAGGCAAGAAAGTGTATTGCCTGTAGCAGGTGAGCCTATGCTGCTACTGGAGCCCACAGCGCTCAATGGGACAGATTAAGGACCGTGTAGGATAGCAGAGCTAGGCATACAGCCTCGGGTTTACCAGGAGGGGGACGAAGGGGGAGGCAAAACTAAGAGGGAAGGGATACTTAATGATCGTGGCCTTTCGACATATGACATATATAAGTCGTGACATCTGCCTTGAAACGCTAACCTCAAAAGTGTATTCGCTATCTGCCGAACAATTTTTCAGCGAAAGTGTACCTCTTCGTTTGCAGAAGAGTACAATAATGACGATAGACGCAAACTCGATTTTGAGATTTTGTGCTTACTTGGACCTATTCGCTACGCTGAATCCGAAAATGCACATTGTAGAGTGCAAAAATGGCGGAAAACGGCTCTAACACAGGAGGGAAATGAGCAGGTGGGCGGGGCCCTCCTCACTGCGAATTCACGTTCCCGGCTTCCGGAGCAACCTTCTCGCTGCAGGTTTCAAGCCAATCATTCGCACTTAGCCGGTAGCGATGTTAGAACGGCTAGCGGAATCGAGAAAATCGCTCCGGGAGCTGGGAGCGTGAAATCGCACTGGGGGAAAGCCCCGCCCACCTGCTGATTTCCCTCCTAAATTAGAGCCCTTTTTCGCCGTTTTCACGCTTTCCAATGTGGATTTTCGGATTCAGCATGGCGAATAGGCCCATATAAGAATCTCAAAATCGACTTTTTGCCCGGACACTGCCTTCAACACAGTGACTTGAGCTAGAAAGAAAATACCATTCAGTCTCTCATAACAGAAGGCTTCACAAAAGACCATTGCATCTCTGGGATTTGGAGGATATACAAAACACCGATTTCTTTGCTTGAAAAGTTATCGAAATGGGCAAATTCGTTTGCTTAGAGTTCTCATATAAATCTCAGAACTCTAACCTTTTCTAGTTTTCATTTTAAGTAAATTCAGTTACATATGGTCGGCTCCAAGATTCGTGGAAGCGTTTTGCGGACTTTCCCTGATTATAAGTATAAACCTCTTGAAGCTCCACGTAGTAGCACTGTTCTTCGTACTCTCTCGCTATCAAAACTTGTCACGCTTTGAGTTGCCCCGTCTCCGCCTTTACACAAATCGTGGAGCCGATGAGGAGATCTTGTTGAAAATCAAGCTTTTTTCAACCTTATTCTTGTGCCAACATGGATAAGTTTCGAACCTTAGTAGAGTACCACTTCTAGGAATATATACATGAATGGTCCGCTGTAAGTCTGGCATGATAAATCGTTATATAATATATAAATGCCGCAAGTAGCATGCGTAATTGGTGAGGCAGTAGTCACAAGCTGATTTCAAATAAAATTCTAGCAAAAACTATTAGTTGCTTATTACTTTTACATGAGCACGATAGTATTATATGAATTAGTTTAGTAGTCCGATAACCTCAATCTGGTTGGCACGAAAGAATTTCACAAATATGCACAAAGTTTAGTGGAAAAAAACAGTGAATAGAAAAATTCCATTGTTGAAATAGTGTTGAACAAAGATACGCTCCGTATTTGAGTGTTGCGACGGCATAGGTGCGAAGGCCTGAGATGGGTACCCTCCAAAGTGAAGGGGGTCTCAGGAGTTTTTGACCCTCAAAAGTGAAGGGGGTCCAAAAATTGCCGACGTCGACCGGGGGGGGGAATTGAAAAAAATTTTTCAGTTTTTCAACTTTAATTTTTCCAAATTTTAATTTTAACAACTTTCCTATTTTTTGCTTTTAAATTTTCTAAATTTATTTGTATACATTTTAACATAGTAAAATGTTTCCGAGTACTTTTTTGATGAATATCATTTCATTATCATGTATCATGAAAGCAAAAATCGGGACCGGACCCTCCTCACTGGGACGAAGCAGGTGCTAAGGTGAGTTAGTTAGATTAAAGTTGAGATATCGGAGCTGAAAAATCCAATTTTAGGCATTCCATGAGACGAGCAGTATTGAGTAGATATGGGAGGGCGCATGGTCGTGAAACGAATGGCTGGAGTGGTGCCTACACGTGGGCTTGTACGAGACTCAGAAAAAGACATTTTGTGATTATAATGTGGATATAAATTGAATAATTTGCCATCGTATTGTGTGTATAAGGATAAACAATAAATTGAATTGTTATACACAATCGAATTTGTATATATTGAGTGAAGGCAGAGAAGCAGGTTTGAGTTGCCAACTATACCCCCCCCCCTTCGAGCCAAAAAATTTCCATATCTCGGTGGGGTGGGGGGTCATCTCATGATCTAATTTTTTTTTATCTTGTAAGGGAGAGTGTGCTTGAGATAACTAGGGCTGTCGCAAAAGGATCTGCTTTAAGGAAGGAGAGCAACAGCACCGAGTTGAAGACGCATAAATTTGTGCGTAAAATTCAAGCTTCAGAAGTTCTGCTTCAGCAGATTCTTTTGCGAGCCCTAGTTATCTCAAGCACACTCTCCCTTACAAGATAAAAAAAAAATTAGATCATGAGATGACCCCCCACCCCACCGAGATATGGAAATTTTTTGGCTCGAAGGGGGGAGGTATAGTTGGCAACTCAAACCTGCTTCTCTGCCTTCACTCAATATATACAAATTCGATTGTGTATAACAATTCAATTTATTGTTTATCCTTATACACACAATACGATGGCAAATTATTCAATTTATATCCACATTATAATCACAAAATGTCTTTTTCTGAGTCTCGTACAAGCCCACGTGTAGGCACCACTCCAGCCATTCGTTTCACGACCATGCGCCCTCCCATATCGACTCAATACTGCTCGTCTCATGGAATGCCTAAAATTGGATTTTTCAGCTCCGATATCTCAACTTTAATCTAACTAACTCACCTTAGCACCTGCTTCGTCCCAGTGAAGGGGGTCCGGCCCCGATTTTTGCTTCCTTTCCCGCATTCTCATTTCCTACACTCTGTAAATAAATTCTTTTACCTTAAATTGTACTCCACTTCAAGCACACTATCATCTCACCTCAAAAAATTTTTTTTCTCCGTCCAAAGTGAAGGGGGGGGGGGTAGCCCAGGCTCCAAAGTGAAGGGGGAGTGAGATTTTTCTCAACCCTTCGCACCTATGTGCGACGGTAATATGTTAGAAGAATGTAACCCATTTTATTGGGCGTTAAAGAATTGAAACAAAAAGCTTTCATAGTGCAGATTACATTCCTCCCCTCATGTCGTCATCGACCACAGTGATATCAGTTGTGTATTGTGTTGTAATTATTCAAGTTTTGCTCGTGTATCGTACTACAGTATCCATTGCTTGATTTAAAACCGTTCCCATGCTTAGCTGATGTACAAATGCCTTTGCCATTAATGCGCAGCATAGCTTAATCCATCAAGTTATCAAGGCTTTTAATCGCGCTTAACCTTTTAAGACTGTTGTGGGAACCGTGTAGAAATTCGCTGTTATCTGATTGCTATCCATATAAAGGTAGAGCTAAGAAACGCAAAGTTTCGCTTGGTTCGCTGTGTTCAAGTTTCCATCCGCCTCAAGTACTCCTCGCTCAAGTTTGCCGGCTCAATTATATACGGTAAATAAATTGATAGTATCTACACGTTTCCAACTACAGAATCAAGTCCCTCGTGGCGTTAAACTGATTCAAGTTAGCCATCTTTTACACCTCAAAGTTTTTTTTCAAAATGAGAGAAAAAATTTGTGAGCATATATGTTATGCAGATGTAAAGATGTGGACAGCATGAGGTTTCGAATCCCTTACAAAGCATTGATAAATGTTGGCTTCAGATAAATAGTGCTTTTCTACAGTTTATAAATTTTGGTAGCTGCCAACAGCGTCAAAAATGGTGCATGGTCTTCAAACGGGAGAGCAGTTTTGTAGAGCTGTTTGAAATGATCAAGCTATTTGTTGACATCGTGAAGAGATACGAGCATTACATAGCGCACATACTCAGATAATCACCGGGGGCAGGCGGTCCGCAAACTCGCGCTTTTCTGCAGGCGGTCAGCAAAATTTTGGGGCGTGGCCAAACCTTCAGCGGGCGGCACTTCCTTTAAGGTCGCATATTCTGCCAGCGGGCAGCAATACAGCATTTTTTGCAAGCGCTCGGCAAATAATTTCTTTCAGCGAGCGCTGGCCAAACTTTCAGCAAGCGCTCGGACTCTTTTTAGGCATTTTCGGGCGTACGTCGAGCGCAGGTAAGACTCTGTGTGGCAGAGGTGTCACCGTTGGTTTAATTACTCAAGTTTGAGGTACTTTCTCTCAGCGGAAAGTACCTGGGGGTTGCGCGGTCCTTCACAAAGGACCGTGCGGCCCTCGAAATTTTTGCATATTCTCGCGGAAAGTCCGCGAGAATGCGGCCACTGCGCCGCAACTAATCCATAAAGAAACCGCGATTGTTCTTCAAGCATTCGTCCTCAATTTCGCCAACTTTCTTCCAGATTTCTGCAAGCGGGCCGCAAAAAATCAACGAACTATTTTTCCGGTGCGCGCTTGCTCAAAATTCGCATGGCCGCCTTCCCCCGGAGGGTTATCTGAGTAGGGCTCAATCAACATAAAACGTCTGAGTTCTTCCAGCAGGATGTGCCGCTACTCAGACAATCGCCGGGGGCAGAAGGCACCGGAAAAATAGATTGCTGATCTCTCGCACTCCGCTCGCGGATTTTTTGGAAAGCAATCAGGACTTTTCGGAAGACCGCTTGCTGAGTTCTCGATTCCTCAGAGATTCAGCAATATATCTGCAAAAGATAAGAGCGAAAAAAAATTCAACAGGCGGTCTCTCAAAAATCCGCTGACTCAGCAAGCGGTCTTCCGAAAAGTCCTGATTGCTTCGCAAAAAATCCGCGAGCGGGGTGCGAGAAATCAGCAATCTATTTTTCCGGTGCCCGTCCCCCAGCGATTGTCTGAGTAGAAGCCCTAGTCCAAATGGAACGGCGCGACTCAGCTCCACTCCTTCATAGTTGGCCGCTACTAACACAAGAGCCCTTTCTGCGCTTCTGCACATCCATGCGTGATCTGCTGGAAATGGGACGGGACCAATCATGATAACGAGAACAATCAATGGAGACGAAAGGCAATGAAGCAAAGACTGCTCTCTTGCGCAGCCTTATATATCCAGCCACTTGGCATCGTTCACAGCAGGAATGGTCCTGCGGCGGCAAGAGAAGGTGAACGCGACAGGTAAACGTGGCATACAGCGCTCCCGGCACCAGTTCCGAAGAGTTGTTTTGCATCGCGGAGCCGCGATATGATTTGGAAATTAAAGGCAGTGGCTTGGCAAAATCGAACATCTCGAAATTTTTATACGAAAGGTTGCTCGCACCCCAAACAGGACAATGGGGCAGATCCAAGCGCACAGCGTGCAACCCCTGCCTAGAAAATTGCCTCTAAACCCGTGCGCGCAAGCAATTCTTACAGGAGCTCGGACTTCCGATCCCTCTCTCGTCAGAGAGGCATGCCGCAATGCTAAAAACATGAGGGTCCCGCAACGACTGTGCGTCTCTAACCATGGTGGAGAGCGTTCCACTCGTCCAAATTCAAAGGCGGCTTGGAAAATGCTGGTTTTCGCCATTTTCGCGCTCTAAAAAGTGGTTTTTCGGAATCAGCGCGTCGAATTACCCCATGTAAGCGAAAAAACCAAAAGTCGAGGATTTGCCGAGCCAATGCCTTTAAGGAATGCTCCACGTTTTTGTGCGTGCTGAAAATTGATTCCTCCATCTACACGAAGTACGGTTTAGGCAACACATTGATGTTGGACTCCTCGACAATGCATGAATCCTATGGCTTTCCGACGTTATACGACGTTTGACAATGGTTTACCTAAGACCTTCTAACGAGTATCGACATAAAGTTCCAGGTACCCATTGGGCATTGCTTTCAAGCTGCACAATCTGGTGATTATTGTTAGAACCACTTATATGATCTCCATAATTCTGAACTTTTCAGAAACTTCAGCTCACATCCGTAGTATTTGGCAGAGATGATTGAACTGGCTAAGTTCTTCCGAGCAACAATTTTAGACAAATGAAGAATTTGGGAAATGGTGTGTTTTCAGGTAAAAGACACTTCATTCACTTAACCAGGTACAGCGAATAATGTCTTGGAAATTCTGTATATATACGGAAACTTCTTCTGTCCAGATGATGATCTTCTGCTGGTGGAGATCATTTCTAGAGAACCGATATAATCGTGCTTCATTGAAGCTTCTTAGCAAGGAACAGCTTCCGTTACTTTCAGCTGTTATCATTCTGGCATAACTCCTTTGCAATTAAAAGCAAGCTAGAGATAAGATAGCAAGACGCTGCAAGTGAGACAACTTTACTATTCTTGCTTTTCGATTTAACAAATCGATATTCTTTTGAATCAGAGTTAAAGTTCTCGAGACACATGCCAGAATTCACTGTTCCACATCTTTGGTCTCTCAAGGTTAAGTGGGCTCTTAAACGCATACTTTATCGTCCTCGTCTGTCTTTTCCACTTTCTCTTCGGCAAGGTTCATGGTTTTCGTACGAGAGGGATGAGTGCAAAATATACTGAGGATTCCGCGGATTTCCTTGCGTATACTTTCTTTGTCTGCATTGTAATCATTTTGTTTAAAATAACAAGTAAGTAAACTTGTTGAAGCCAAAACAATCACTCTGCCAACTACACAAAGATAATTTCCTAGAATTTTTGCAAGAATGAAGTGTTGCTGCACTTTTGCAAATTGCAAAAACGCTGATAACATCGTTAGATAATTGTACTATTCATTTATTTCAATTTGAACATAGCAAACGGTAGGTGGTCAGTTTTCTGGGTTTTTTGCTAAATCCTATGATCATAAGGATTTCACAATACAGACACACAAAACTCGGGCTTTCTACTCTGGTTCCTGGATGAATTCTGTGAAAATGTCCCAATTGCGAAGTCTCGAAAGCAGCTCATTGTGGATCATGCTTTATTAGAAAGAATAGAGTTAAGAAACAATTGGCTTTTTTCAATCACTCTGCTAGTTATGAAAATCGTTGTTAGTGTTAATGAACTAAGACTATTTGTGGCCAAATTCGCAGGGAGTAATAGGAGTGATTTTGAAAAAGTGAACCAATAGTAATCTTTCAGCGAAATCCTTTTTGTGACTTCTCGTTTGGTTTTAAGTCTCTTCTATTCAAAGAAAAGCCTTATGTGAAAATTTATCAGTCGTTAAAGTTTATCCAGTTGCAGATGAAGCTCATAATAGAAGAAAGTGCCGAGAAAGTAGCCGATTTTGCAGCACGCTATGTAATGAAGAGGATCAACGAACATGGATGTGGACCTAATCGCTACTTTGTACTCGGACTTCCTACTGGTTCGTTCGTGGCAAAATAAAAAAGCCCTTTTTCCCTTTAAGCTTATAAGCTTCATTTTGGGGGTTTCTCGATCATGTCGCACAATGTACATTTCATGAAGCGTGAATTTTAGGATCCACCCCGCTTGGAATGTACAAGAAGTTGATCGAATTTCACCGAGAGGGTAAATTATCATTTCGATACGTGATCACCTTCAACATGGATGAATACGTAGGTGAGACGAAGGAGAAGGGATGAAAGGGAAGAAAATGGACATCTAATTTTTGTAGGCCTACCTCGAGAACACCCGGAATCATATCACTCGTTTATGTACACCAACTTTTTCCGTCATATTGATATCGATCCAAAAAATGTTCATATTCTTGATGGCAATGCAGAAGATGTAGAGAAAGAATGTCGTGACTATGAAGAGCTGATACGTGAAGTTGGCGGAGTTGATCTATTCATCGGAGGTAATTCTGTAGACCCCTAATATTACTACATAAAAAACAAAATTGAGTTTTTCAGGCATTGGCCCCGATGGGCACATCGCGTTCAATGAACCTGGTAGTTCTTTATCATCTCGGACCCGAATCAAGACACTCAATGCGGATACGATTGAGGTAGTGATTATTATAGAACACCACTGTTAATTCTTAGCTTTCTTCTCAAATTCTCTATATCGTTCGGAAAAAACTGATCGATACGAATGCATGGTTCACAATAACTTTACTTCTTAAAGTTGGGAAGAAGCGATAATCAGCACACAAAATTCTTGATGACTGAAGGCGAAAACATAGATCAGAATGATGGTGCCCAAAATCGTTGTCCGCCAAATTTCTATTTGGTATGAAATTCTTTGGCAACATTCCCCCAATCCTCTTTGTGGAATTTCAAACATCAATTATCTAACTCGACTCGTAAACAAAGTACTTCCGCTATTTCAATAATCATTGAAAAATTTAGGCGAATTCCCGATTTTTTGGTGGCGACATGGCAATGGTGCCTACACAAGCTTTGACAGTTGGTGTTCAAACAGTCATGGATGCAAGGGAGGTAGGCTTTCAAACCACTCATAATCTATGAGATTAGTTGAAAGTTGGATGAGAGCCAATACATAATAAATGCAAAGAAGTGGTGAGATCAGTAAGATACCATAATTGAAGTTCTATCACTACTCTACCCACTCAGTCTGAACTGGAACTTACTATTGAGGTTTTTGACCGTACCCTAGACAACTGACCGAGTCTCGCAGAAAGTCTAGGAATCGCCGAGTCACCTGCGAAAGTTCCTAAATGAGCTGCTGCGGAAGTACCGAAGAATGCGAATACGACAGCAGATGAGAACACTTAGAAGTTCGAACTATTGGCTGCGAGACACACTCACTATCGCACCACGGATGAGGTGTTCGGAAATACACTCTCCTTGTTGACAAGACAGCAACGTAAGAGACAACACATTCAAAAACCTCGGAACTAATGCATGTGCGCAGTACGCGAAGAAGATGAGCTGTACGAGATTTCTGGGTCATTCAGCATCAACTCTATGAATTCTGACAGCTGTGGAACCGCTGACACATTTCGGAATTTTCGCAGCGTTTTGTAAAAAGTCCTGCGGAAGTGCCCGCTTTCAATCAGTCTAACGTGAAAATCCTGCGGAAGTTCCCGTTTACAACGTTTCCACTTTTGTGATAGCAGCAAAATCCTGCGAAACCGCTGCAAAATTTGCTTGTCCTGCAGAACTTCCTGAGAATCGTTTAAGACTAAGTTCCTTGATTTCAGGTTATGATTTTGATTACTGGTTCAAACAAAGCAGTTGCTCTACATCATGCCATTGAGGACGGTATTAGCCATCTGTGGACAATAAGCGCATTTCAAATGCATCCAAATACGATGTTCATCGCAGACGATGACGCAACATTGGAACTGAAGGCAAGTTACAATTTGATTTATTTTTTGTTTTCAATACACCATACCAAAAGCATCTACTTTATCTCATATAAATTTAGGTAAGAACTGTAAAATATTTCAAAGGACTCATGCCACATCACAGGAAGCTCATTGAATGATCTTGAATTCTTAAATGTACAGTAAATTGAATTTCAATGCATGACTCACTGTATCTTTCTCGGAACAGATAATTTTGAATGGAAAACTTGCAGACTTAATTTGAGAATATGAATGTTTGAATTTCATGCACTGGTTTGCCACATCGTATAAAATACTACAAGTAATGCATACTATAAATTGTACACTATACTGCATTTATTAGCAGAAAATCTCTTGAAGAGGTAAATATAAGAGCGCTTGAAATTTTTTATTAATACTGAAAGCAAATGTGCCCTGTCTTTTACAGGAGCGCTTTTATTTGGTATCATTAACTTCTGTTACATGTCAATATCACTGGGCCGTTACATAGGATCCGCTCCAAAATATGTTTAATTGTTCAAAAGAACTAATATTACATTGATCGTCTGTTATGTAATCACCGATTTAATTTATGACAAAGAATAGAGGATCAATTTGGAGCAAAATCAAAAATCGAAAATCAAATCCAATTCCCTTAGTTAAAAAGGGTAGGTTTGAGACCAAGACCAATATAAATCAATTTTACTTCTTTACTTAGAATTTTTGACGAGCGATGTTGGAAATAGAACAAGTTGGTGATTTACTTGATTAGCTTTTATCGAAGACGGACCATATGACGGACCACTACAAAGCGCATTTTTACCCTCCTTTCATACTGAGATAATCAAATTAGTTAATGAAGGAATCTATTACGAGTAAAAGATTTAATAGCAACCTGAGTTCTTCAAATTACGAAAAACTTTGAAGCTAGCCATCTAGCAAGATCATTTTTAGGAGGTTATTTTTTATTAGGATTATTGAAATTATTTTATTCTTTCGCAAACGAAAGCTCAGGTAGGGTCAAATCATTTTCATTACACCACTTTGCCTCGTGTTTGCGATAAGATTAAAAAAAAATTCTAGATAACGCCAGCAAAAGCAAATTACGACTAGTTTCCACTGCGAACAAATGAAATAGGTTTGAAAGTCCATTTTCCTTCTTTATGGACTTTCGTGGACATCATTCCAGGTTCTCTTGTCTGCAGAAGATGAGCTGATCGTAATCATTTGTTCGACTTTATAGGCGCACGCTATTTTGGTTCATATTTTCTATCAACAAGTAAACGTAACGAGGGATTTGAAAAGTTTTGTACTAGAATTACAAGCAAGTATTAATATTTATTGCTGAAACAAATCAGATCTGTAATTCATTCACGCATCGCTTTCCAGAGAATGGTTTCCGTACATAGCAAAACGCTCGCGTCCCTGAATGAATGTGTGATTTGTAACGCAAGATTCGTTGCAAATCTATTAGAATGCGTCCAAAGTAACCCGTGCTCCAGTACCGTGGCGGCGTCGTTCCAGCGCAGTGCCAGCTCCGTGCTAGCGTCGCGCTGGGAACTGCGAACACTTGCGCCAGCACAGTTTCCGTAGCACTAAGATGACGCTGGCAAGAGCTAGGAACAACTTTGGACACAACCTCAAAAATTCAAAATGCTTACGAATCAGTTCTTTCCCTTACCTCCTCTGCAGCCTTGCGCTGCTTCTCCAGTAACTGCTCAATGGCTTTGGAGCGTCGGCGTATTTCTGAGTCCTGCGCAAAGGAAAATTACATTTGAGTATTTTGAATATTATAATAGCTATTACTGTATACAAATTCACTAAACACTGTTGAAGACCTACTTTTGTTGTTCCTGAAGAGATTTCTCTGGATAGATCGCCTATTGCTCGTGTGACGAAGGTATAAGAGAGCTGTAGGCAGATTTTTGGGTTCAAAAATCAATTCATCGTGAAGTATAAGCTGGGCATAGGATACTGTTGTGCAAAATGGCCGTCTCTTTTTTAGGTTAACACTCAAAACATACTCTCCAAGCAGCGTTCGGAGTGTCCAGGCGGCGCGTGTCAGCGCCGTGCCGTAACGCACGGGCGCACAGTCCCCGACACGACGCTGGAACGACGCTGGCACGTCTTTATTCTGGCAAGCATTGGTACGCGAATTTTGGACAAAGCATTATAATATGGAAAAGAAGTTCACTTCAAAATGTTACTCAGCTTAATTTTTTTTTGAAAAAATGTTTCATTGCAAAGTTCAACCACTGGTATAGAAGCCAACAAATTTTTTGATTGGAAAACCTACTTTGTCTATATCTGATTGGGTCAGATTATACGTCTTCAAAAACTCGTCTAGAAGCGTTTGCTTTCCCTCCGACAATCCAGACAGTTTGGGTACCACCTTCGTTTTGTACACATCACGATAGATAGGATCAATCTGAAAATGAAATTCGAAGCTCGTCAATCGATTATGGCCCACTTACCTCATCATATAAAGCCGTGAGAATCTTTCGAAGCGTATTCCTTGTAAAATTGCTCGCTACAGCGTCGTTCATCTAAATTTTATAATTTTGTATTGAGACAGTTTAAAAATAAATTTGTGCGAATACGCGCACGATTGGCCATATCCGTCCCCTTTTCGCGACGATCAACCATCCGCCTTCGTTCGGGACTATCCTCTACTTGATCAGAGGGTGGACAAAACTGCAAACCGTAAAACTAATTCAAACGGCAACTCACAATATCTAACACATTTTTGCTGACTTCAATGCCGTACTCTGATAATATCGTTTCTGCTGTCGAATTCTCGCCAGCTGCTACGTTTGAAGTTTCGATCGGAGTCTCGAACAGTGGTACTGTTTCATTCATATTGAGTGAGGTTGGAAGCTCAGGGTGATGGAGTGAAGTGACTAAAAATGAAAAGTGTTTAATGGGAAATATAGTTCAAAAATTCATAAGTGAGTACTTAATTTTGTCATAAAAACCATTTTTGCGAGAGTGGACGAATATATTAGGTTATTTCAAAAGTTCTGGTGTTTCATTTTTAAAAATTTGTAACTTCTTGCTGTCTTAACCGGTTTGGTCCTTTCTAATTTTTTAGAAAGGATAAGTCTTCGTCTTTGTAAAGATATCCTGGATAGCTCTAACTATACATTCACTGCAGAGACAAAAATGGAAGAGGACCACTTGAGCTTTAACCATTTTAAGTTAGGCTGCCAAAAGTGTGGAACGCCGCAGAAAATTCTGAAATTGTCAGTAAAAGTTTTATGACTTACCCTTTGCAGCAGAGAAAAAGTGCTGTTTCGATGTCTCTGAGAAAAGTTATAATTTTTGAGTTTACAATAGAAAATGCCAAATTTAACCAATTTCTCGCTTTTCTCGAAAATCATAATCATTCATTGAAACGTTCAAACTTCTCACAATCGGATGCAAAGGGTAAGTCATAAAACTTATACACCGACAATTTCCGGTTTTTCTACGGCGTTCCGCCTTTTGGTAACCTAACCTAAAATGGTCAAAGCTCAAGTGGTCTTCTTTTTCCATTTTTATCTCTGCAATGAATGTATAATTGGAGATATTCAAAAAATCTTTACAAAGAGGAAGACTTCTAAGCAAATCCGTTGAGGCAGCAAGAAGTTACAAATTTTCAAAAATAAAGCGACAGAACTTTGGGACAAGCTAATATATAATTTCATAATCAAGGATTCACTGATTGACACTGATTTTTTTCCATGGATTAATTCTTTGGAAGATTTGCAGCGATTTTGATCTAAAACGCTCGAAATCAAAAACTAGTACGATCCAACTGGCCCGAAAAATCGAAAAAAAACAATTGGAATTTTTTTTTAAAAATACAAAGTTTCTGACTTGCTCACGCATAACATCTTTTATCAACGTCCGATTAGATTTGCCGAATTTCTACTTGGATGAAGATTGAGAAAACGGAAATGCTTTTGGCTTCGCGCTTTCGCCAGAACAGTACTAAGTTATTTTCATTCTGCTAGTTGTATACTGTAAACTTCACTAGCGAAACTGTGAATATCGCATAAAAACCGGCTGTTGTAAGCCTTTAAGTAAAGGGCTTATAACATAGATTTGATTGTTTGACCGCAGCCCAGCATTGTTTCGCAAAAGTAAAAAAAATTTCTTTTGTTTTGGCTTCGATCTTCGCGTAGATCAAATCTCTGAACATTATCTTTGAAGCTTGCTTTGCTCCGTCTGTTCCTCCATACCTAGAATATGGGAGAAATATGGTTATCGGGATTTTGACTGTTTTGGTGCAAGATTTATGCAAAAAACCATGGGAAAGAAATTAGTGTCAAACAGTGAATTGCCGGAATATGTATAGTTATCCATATTCGCAAAAATTCCGAGATTTTCGTGACAAAAATAGGCACTCATATTAGAATGTACTACCGATTAGGTTAAGCAACAAGTGCAGTTCAAATACACGGTCCAAAACTTATCACGAGCTTTCGGAACTTTTATTTTATTTTCATGAGGATGAAACGAGTAATATGTAGAAAATGTCAAATACGAAAAAAAAGTCATAGCACGTATTCTGATGATATGAGGAAAATATAACATATGAAAAAAGGTTTTCAAATAATAATTTTGATAGTTACTAATTAATTATTTTATAATTTAATTAATGATCTTTACTGAGAGTTTGCAAAAATTCTCAGCAATCATAAAGTACAATGATCAACAAAATTCCATTTAACTGTTGTTTGATTCAGTGGAAACTGCACTAGGGGTCCTTCGTGTTGTTTTAGACCATCCAGTATTGAAGATGTCTCGTTCCGAAGAATATCAGGCCAATCGTTCATTACGCTCACTGCTTGACCCACTCGGCCCAATGCAGATTGAGGCGAACCTGCACCTATTCCCTGCTGTTTTCCACCAATATAATCTAACATTTGGTCCACAGCGGACTGCAAACCAGCTCCCATGTCCTGTGGTTTTCCACCGTTCATCATCTGCACCGTTTGGTTTAAGGAAGGTTGAGGCCAACTAGGTCCCATTGGTAATTTTCCACCGTTTAAAAATTCCATTGCTTGGTCCAAAGAAGACTGCAGTGAACCACCTCCTATGCTCTGTGGTTTCCCATCGTTGTTCATCTGCAGCATATGATCTAGGGAAGGTTGAATCAATCCTTGCTGGGTTTGACCAATAGGCTGGAGCCAATTAACTTCCATATCTTGTCGCGCTCCACTAAACCCTAGATCTGCCACTGCAATTGCTACCCAAGTGATGAGTTCCGCCAATACAATTGTGGACATTCACTAAATGGATGAAATGTTTTTGTAGTAATGGGTTTTGCTGCGAAGTAATGGTTTTTCGTGACAAATCAGGCTAGAGAGACACAAAATCAGAAAGCATGTCTTTTGAATCGTCACTTGAAAGAGTATGCGGTATTACCACAATTATCCTATAATGGAATGATAATTGTTAGATGAAAAGTAGTAGGAGACCACGACGCGTGCCAATTATCAACAGCCCATGTTCATTTCCAAATTTAACCAAAGGTCGCTCTCTACTGCGATTTAACTGGAAATCCGGATTAGCCACCCTCTAGGTGTAAATAGTGAACGAACAAGTACTGTTCAGTTTTATTGTGCCGTAACAGGTTGGTATAGATGATATACTATTTATTGCCTGACGTTTCGGCTTTACGCCGTCTTCAGAGGCTGAAAAGGCGTCAGTCACCTTGATGTACGTACTTGGCCGTCAAACATCTCTCCCCACTTGTCATTGTCAAACGTCAGGCAATAAATAGTATATCATCTATACCAACCTGTTACGGCACAATAAAACTGAACAGTACTTGATTCAGAAGATGCCCAGGTTTAAAGACAAGAGGACCTACAGTATAGTGAACGAACAATTCATAAAAAAATGGGATGTGTGTGGAAAGTGTGTTCAAATGGTAAAATTTCTTACTAACCTTTGTAAGCAATTCTGGAAGGTAGGTTTCTAAGTATTCTGTAAATTACGGACTGCAAGTTATACTGAGTGCAACAATTTATTTATAAAAATCATAAAATAATCCTCATTGAGGTTGTAAAGACCAGCAAATTTATGACGAAACAAAAAATCGTTTGGTATGTTAAAACAAAAACAAAAAAATCAACAGCCTCAGAGATCAAATGGAGGAATTAAAAGTATTTGCAACTAGAACTTTCAAACAAGAGTCTTGGCTTTGCCTTAGGTTGCATATCACATCCATTCTATCGAAGAACATATGAATTTGTCATTTGTTTATTCTGGCTTCTCTTGATCATTCTGGTTCTAAAATTTGATCTAATTTTATGCTCGCACCTCGCTGGATCATCTTGCTTACCAGCTCGTCTTCCATGAGTGTACGCCTGTGCTGCATCAATAGTTGACGAAGATGATGACCACTTTTTGGAGCTTCCGTGAACATCTAAACTGCGAACGCTTACATAATGTCCAAAGTTCGTTACTATCAAGGGAAGGAGACTTGGTCGAGTTTCATACGAGTTGTATAGTGTCTTAAAAGAGTATGGAACACTGATTTCAAATCTGCTTCGGTATCTTCTGCAAAGCGCGTCTGGGATGGGAAATATGGGAAATTTTTTGAGGTAAAATTTCAGTGTTTTGGCTAAGGCAAAAACAAGTGTTGAGGTTTTTTCGGAGCTTGAATGAAGCGACGACAAGCTTCAATCTTATCAACTGCACGAAGCGCCTTGGAAGTAATCATGGCACCGCTTGATCTCACAGAATTCAGCTCTGAATAATTTGGTTGTAGCCGTGTGTTCAAAATTTTGCGTTGAAAAATTCCCACAAATCCTCTTCCAGAAGCGCTTGATAACGAAAGCAGGTTCGAAATTAGCTTCCATGCTCCATGAGATTACGATTATGTTATGCCCACCCTAAAGCTCGGTCCAACGAACTTCAATTGAATGCTACCTTCAAGGTGGGTCGGAACACAAGTTTGATATGAAGGACTTTTCACAGATCATCACAAATACAGCGATAGGAAAAAGGAAGAGTTGGGTACGCAATTTTTGCGACAGACTTCTCCTCGCCTTTTTTCTCCAAACGTTCTTGCTTCCTTATGCTAAACTGAGAAACTGCAAGCCTATGGACTTGGTTTGAAGAGTAAGCAAGAAGTGTGTTCCTTCAGGAAAAACACTAAAATAAGCTAGTTGCCATTTGACTGTTTTCTACGTTTTAGCTATGAAATGGAGGTCTTGTCTGATCATGCAAAATGCATCATGCGGTTTCTATAGAAGTTATAAAACCATAACAATCCAATAACTAATCTGGATGCATGTTCTTCTGATGTGAATTGTATACATCTACAAGTATCAAACCTACATAGTGCACATAGGGGCCTGCAGGATTGCGAGAGTTGGACTTGCGTACGGCCATTGCGCCGCGCATGTCAGATGCGCGTCCGACGACTCAGGTAAGTGCCAGACTTATCCTGTTAAAGAGGTTCATTCAGTTCACCACCTTTGCTTTTGGACAGTGTAGCGTTTTGACCTATGAACCGAACCCGGCTCTCGCGATCCTGCAGGCCCCTGTGGTTGTTGCAATGTTGGAAATGTTAAAAATGCATAGTTGCATAGTAGCAATTTAGACGGGAAGTCTGCATTTCTTATGCGTTTCAGACGATTTCAGTGTTTTATCAGTAGTAGAAGGAAGCATATTGGACCAGTGCAGTCGTCTGCGGAGCAGATTGACCAGTGGCTAGAATCGCCTAGGTATACGCGGATAATACCGCATTCGATTCATTGGAATGCTGCTCGAAATACCGAACTTTCATCCGCAATGTAGAAACAACGCTTATTGTCAGCAAATTAGGAGGAGTCTAGATTCGTGGTAAACCCCTGAGTGTC